TGCGCTCGCCAGACAGACAGAGAGAGACATAGAGACAGAAAGTGAGAAATCACCCCCCAGAGGGGATGATCACGCCACAATCCCTTCTCCTCCATTCTCCTCTTGGGATCTTGGGCACGCACGCACATGCACCCGGAGTGAGTTTTAAGCCACCAGGTCCAGGACACGAACCGTGGTCGACTACGTGGGAGTCCAGCGACATAGCCATTACGCTAACTGCTGGTTCCCACTATTATTATTATTTTAAAGTTTGCTATGGGGCACATGTGCTCACCAGAGAGAGAGAGAGACAGAGAAAGAGAGAGAGAGAGAGTAAGTGAGAGAGCAAGTCACCAGGTGTGGGACTTGAACCACCATCGGCTGTTGGGCAGATGTGTCTCCTCTCAGGATGCCATGGCTGCGCCCGGCACCCAGCGCCCTCCGCAGACACCCAGCGCCCTCTGCTGCTCCTCCCTGCACTGTGTTCAGGCTCAGTGAGACCCTGCTGGCCAGATGCATTGGGCTGGCTGGAGGAGGCCCAGGGCAGAAGTTCTCTGATGCCCCAGGAACAAAGAAGAAACCTCATTTCTCTGTCCTGGGAATTTCTTGAAAATTTGGGGCTGATTTTCTGATTTCTGAATCAGGAAATTGGGAGTTAGAGGTGCCAAGAGAGCAGGCACCAGGATCAAGGGTAAGAGACTTTGGGGTGCTTCTTCAACCTGCTGTGTGTTCTTGGGCAAGTTCCTTACCGCTCTGAGTTTTTACTTTTCTGGCAGTACTGGGGGGCTCATGGCCAGAGAATGGGTAAGGGCTGCTCATCCTATCTGGGGACATTGAAAGTACCTTTCAGAGGGCGGCTGGGGAGTTGGGAGCTTTGGACTGCAGCCTAGAACAGGTGCCTCAGCCACAGGGTACATGGGGAGGGGGCGCGGTGAGGGCGCGGTGGGGGTGGAGAGAACCACTGTCCTCCAGGGAGCAAAGCACCAAATTCAGCCCGTGACCCTTCCCCCCGCCTGGCCGTTTTCTGGAGCCCCATGCCGTACTTCACCAGATTGGTGACCCTCAGTCTCCCCATCCCCACTACCCTCTCCTGGTCCTTCCCCTTTCTCCCTTCCCCTTTCTCCCTTCCCTCCCCTACACTGCAGTTTTTAGCTGTTCTAGGGGGTAGGAGCAGGGACTGTGTATCTACTCCATCTTCCAAGTCACAGTCTCAAGGACAGGGTCCCTAACAGGCCTCTCCTCCTCCAGCCTCGCCCCCTCAGCACCAGCCCCTCCTGTGCTCCCCTGCTCTGCTCTTTCAGGTCCACAGACTGCAGTGTTCCTCCTGCTGGGCCTGGCAAGTGCTGTTCTCTGCAGGAACACCCTTCCTGCCCTTCACTTAGTCAGTCCTACTCAGCCTTGAGCTCTCTGTCGGACAGCTCTTCGCTGTGGGGCCTCCCCAGACCTCCACCCCGGGAGCGGCAGCACCCAGCCCTTTGCAAACGTGGGCAGTACGTTCGTTTTTCTCAGTTTGATCGAAGCCCTCTTCCCCCGAGGCCAGAAGCATCACTGTGCTCGCCGTCCTTTCCCCGCTGCCGCTGCCGAGTCAAACACCAGGCACGCTGTCTGGTCTCCTAGATACTTGCTCAATGAGAAAGGGGACTGGACAGGGAGATCCCCGCAGGCAGATGGGCCCATCAGGTCCTCCTGGGTCATGGAGGAGGGCCCTGCTGAGGGACACGCAAAACTCTTCACCCACAGAGGTGGGGACTGGGCACCTGATGCCTGGGCTCTTGCAAAGCTTTGCACCTGTGGGCCATGTCCCCACCCCTCTCGGGACCTCAGTCTTCCCATCAGTAAAATGAGGAGGTATAACTTGAAGGCCTTGGGTTCCTTCCCAGCTTAGAAACTCAAGCATCTCTGTGGAAAAGTGCGTGTGTTCAGCTGTTCCCGCCTTCCACAGAAGGCTTCCTGGGGGCAGGCTGTCTGGGCGGTGTTCCTGCGACTGCCACACAGTGGCAGCAGAGGCCTCTTTTCGCTGCTCATTGGGGCACTATGTGTGGTCACTGAGCACTATCCTGTGGCTGGCCAAGGTGGCTTCAAGAAGCCTGTGGAAAAATAGAACTGCACGAGTTTATTTTGGTGCAAAACAACCTTGAAAATCCATACACACACATTTTTTTTTGGAGAGGTTTTTGTTATAGGGCCCGTGCACTCGCCAGAAAGACAGAGAGAAACAGAGAGATAGAAAGTGAGAAATCACCCCCCCCAGGGGAGATGGCCACACTGCAATCCCTTCTCTTCCTTTCTCCTCTTGGGCAGGATCTTGGGCACACACGCACATGCATCTGGCATGAGTTTAAGCCACCAGGTCCAGGACTCGAACCACGGTGGGCTACAAGGGAGTTCAGCGACATAGCCATTACGCCAACTGCTGGTCGCCCAGCTTAAATTTTCTAGGAGTCACTTTTAAAGAGGGTTTTGGGGAGGCACCAGCAGATGGCCTGGCGATCAAGGTGCTAGATCCCACCTGGCTGACTGCATGGTTCAAGTTCCAGACTCCAAAGCTTGAAAAACACACTTGGCATGTATGTGCTCAAAATCCTGAGAGGAAAATGGGAGAGAAAGGACTATGAAGTGGCCATCCCCCCTGAGGGCTGGCGTCTCATTTCCCTCTCTGTCTCTCTCCGGCGAGTGCACGTACCCTATAGCAAAAACGTATTTAAAAGTTTAAAAAAAGAAAAATTAAATAATACATTTATTCATCTAATATATCTAAAATATTATCATGTCATCGGGTAATCAATATAAAAAATAATGAGATGTTTTACATTCTTTTTTGTACACTCTTTTTTTTTTTACATACTTTTAGTCATACTTTGAAATTCAGTGGGCATTAGATGAGGGACTTTTAGAAAGTTCATGGTAGGGGCTGGCCAGAGGCATGGTGGTTGAAGCACTGGACTCGCACGTGGCCAACCATGGCCATCCCGCCTGGGGGGTGATTTCTTGCTTTCTGTCTCTCTCTCTTTTTCTGGTGAGTGCACGTGCCCTATAGCAAAAACCTCTCCAAAAAAAACCTGACACATGTGATTCTCATCACGTTTCTGTTGGATAATCTTGCTTTAGAAATGCTCCAACCTTTGACTGTCAAACCCTAGTTAACTTGAACTCCAGTTAAGCACATTAGCTGGAGCCCGGAGAGGGAGCGCGGCGTGCTGAGATGGAAGCTGGAGGGAGGAGGAACCATGGTAGGATCCTGGGAAGGTGGGCAGATACCCTTTCCCTGTTCCATCCACCAAGAGAAGCTGAAAGCTATGTATAGGGTGGGCTTGGGAGAGAAGGGGCAGGGAGTGTGAGTAGAAAGCTGGGATGGAGAAGCTGATGGTCTCCAACAGGACAGTCCTCAGTTTTTCTGATTGTAAAATGGAAAGTATTTTCCATTCATAGCTGAGTCGCAGGCTGAGAGCTTTCAAGACTTTACCCGATGAAATCTCTAAATCTCTAAAAGAAAGACTATATATATATTTTTAAATTTGTTATAGGGTGTGTGCACTTGTCAGAGAGAGATGGGGAGCAGTGAGAAAGCACCCCCAGCTAAGGGATGGCCACACTGTTAGCCCTTCTCTTCCATTCTCCTCTCAGGATTTTGGTCACACACACACACAGGCCTGGTGTTTTTCAAGCTGCTAGGTAGTCCCGTGCAGTTGGTCATATGGGATCCAGTTGCCTTAACCACAATGCCACCAGCTAGCCCACAGACTGCATTAGCCCCATTTTCTAAGTGAGGACATTGAGGTCCAGAGACAGTAGGTAAGTTGCCCAAGAACACGCAGCAAGGAATAGCTAAGCCAGGGCTTGTCACTTCAGCACACTGCAGATACCCAGAGAAGGCGGCGTTGCGTGTGGCCACCACCCCTGGGAACTTCAGGGCATAATCCCACATGTGTGGGGCACATAGATCGCAACGGGACAGGAGTCCAGATGGGGAAAGGACACAGAATTTACCGTGTGTCACACAGTGTGAAAGGCACGTTGTTTATCCTGAGGGCAGCCTCATAGGAAATACGTTATTGTCATCCTCTGGGTTGCCGGGCACAGCTAGGACACGTAGGGGGCACACTCAGGGCTCTTGGTGGAAAATATGTGTCCGCTACTCCATTCTGCTTCCCCCCAGCATTCTTCAAGACTCTTTAGATTGTAAGTAACACAAGTTCTAATTTTTTAGCAAATGTAACTGAAAAGTTTGAGGATAGCTCCAAGTAGCTTCAAGTGAGGCTAGATCCAGGGGCTCTGTCTTTTCCCATCTTTCATCTTTATTTCCTTTTATGTTGGTTCATCTATAAAATGTTTATCAAAAGCTCTAGGACTGCTTCCTACCTGGCCCCCATAGAAAGATAGCGTCTCCTTCCTACATTTTCAGTAACCAAAACCAAAGCCTTGACATTATGTCTAATGGGGCCAGCAGGTTAAGTGGTTAAGGTGCTGGACTCTCCTACATAGCCAACCACAGTTCGAGTCCCAGACCTGATGGCTTGCTTTCTCACTTTTTCTCTCTCTCTCGTCAAATAAAAATAAATGAATGAGTAAATAAAAGAAAATAATAAGTAATTCTTAAAAAAAACAATAAAAAAGAAATTATGTCTGATAGGCATGGTTTAGGTTTGTGCCCATCTCTGAACCAGGCCATCATCCCAGAGGAATGGAATGGGTAGATTGGTCCAGCCAAGACCCGTGGCTTCTCCAAGCCCAGCTCCTAGCCACAGACGTGAGGGGCGTTGAGTGATTCCCCAGGGAATAGCAGGTGGCTTTACTTCAAGGGGCACAGACTTCGGACGGTCACTGCGTTTTTCAATTGCGGTAGTGAAAGGCCTATCCGGGAGACCTCGGGCTCTCAGTACCAGTTCCTAAGGCTTTGCTGCCCCTGCAGGCACAGCGAAGAAGGACACTATCTGCGAGCCACTTGCCCCAGAATCCCGTCCTGACTGCTCCAGCCCAGCCGGCTGCAAGGCGCCGAACAGGTGACTCCCACGTCTCCCTCATTGTCCTCTCCAGCTGACTTTGGGACAAGGCTGTCCCACTCCACAGGATACCCAGAGTACTGCTGGCCTGGGGGTGCAGGTGTGGTTTACCCCAGGGTAAAAGAACTCCAGAACAGTTCTCTGACAAGCTCACAAGTCACCTGATGCTGTGCAGTGCATCCGGGCCTGCATGGGGCACGTGTGCGGGCTGAAAGGACTAGCAAGCACAGCCTTAGTTCCCTGGGGTTTTAGTGGGCCTGCGGGAGACTTGGGCAGAGGGTCCTGGGACCCCTTCTCTACAGACAGCTATTCAGGAGCACAGACTTCCTGGCCCCCTAGGGAGAATTGTCAGTCCCATCTCTGGCTTCTTCCCCAGCAGCAAAGACTCCCAGGTCACTCCGATGTCCCCAGAGTGGCCGGGGGACAACTCTAATACCAGGACGACACTTCTTAGAGGGGGCGCCTCCCTCACCCCTGAAGAAGCTTCAAGGCTGATGAGGGCTTCTACCTCTCCCTCCTCCCTGGGGAAGCTCAGCCCAGATCCAGGTAATTGCTCTGTGAATCTGTGCCTTGTCCACAGGGCGGCGGTATCTAATTGGTGGATGTGCAGGTTGTGGCCAGGGGAAGTGGTCTCTTCTCAATGTGGAGGGGAGAGGGTGTCAAGGTCACAGCTGCTGGGGTTGTAGGAATTGAGGGCCGGAGCAGATCCAGGAAGGGCTCTTCCATCCCGTGTGCCAGATATTGCGGGGGCTGGGGGTGCTGGGCCCTGCCCTGCTCTGTTGGACTTACGTGGAGCAGGCGAGTCTCTGTACGTGCCACTTGGCACCCCCTGGCTCCTAGGGCAGAGGACGGGGGCTTGGAGTCTGCTCCCTTTGATTCCTGAATAGCCTTCCCTGGCACAGACGAACCACACTTGTTTATTTGCACGGTTTGGACTTTCGGCTTGTTTCCACTTCTTGTCTATAATGAATAATGCAAACCCTTCATATGGATGTGTGTTTTCATGTCTCTTGGATTGATTTTTTTAATCCAGAGGTTTTTGCCTTAGGGTGTGTGTGCTCGCTGGAGAGAGAGGGAAAGTCAGAGACAGCGAGAGGGAAAGTGAGAAATCACCCCCTGGGGGGATGGCCACGCCACCGCCCCTTCTCTATTCTCCAGGGATTTGGGGCATGCACGTACGTGCATCTGGCATGAGTTTCAAGTCACTGGGTCCAGGACTCGAACTGCAATTGGCCATGTGGGAGTCCAGCGGCATAACCACTATGCCATCTGCTGGCCTCTCTTAGACTGATTTTTAGAACATTGATCTGTAGGACTTCTTAATCTGGGTTTGAGCCGTTGTCCTACAGTTGCGTTCAAAATACCTCCTCTCACCCTGTGGCTTGCCTTCTCGTTCTCTGTAGTGTTTGACCAAGAGATGTTCCTCCTCTCAACATAGCCAGATTGCCAGCCTTTTCCTCTGTGGCAGTGGGGAGTGGGGTTTCAGAGCTCCCGAAGGAGGTGAGGTGACCTCCAGTCAGCCAGATCCTGGGCACTCAGGTCACGCCGGTGACCAGACCTGGAGTCTCTCTGCTTCTTTTCCCAGGGCTGTCCCCGATGCAGCCATGCCCACAGGGGTCTCCCAGCTGCAGGAAGCAGTGTGAGCCCGACTACTACCTGGACAGGAATGGCCGCTGCAGGGCCTGTGTGAGCTGCTCAAGAGGTAAGGGCCTTGTCCTGTCTCCCGGGGCTGCTGCCAGGGAGCCATGGTGGGGTGTGTCTTAGAGAAGAGGTGAGGAAACTTACCTTTGTTTGGGCTGCTCAACCCTTGGGAGCCTCAGTTTACCTCTCTGTGTTTTTGAACCACCAACTTCCTGTGACTCCCGTTCATGTTTGTGGGTTGGCAATAGTGGGGATCCCTTTCTAGAGAACGTCCATTGGCTTATTCTTTCATTCAAGGAAACATTTTATATCACCAACCTGTTCTAGATCTGGTCCAAATTTGTCTCATTCGTTCACTTTTTAATCGCTAGAGGTATGTGTGCATACCTGAGAAGGACAATGACACAGGGAGAGAGGGGAGAGGGAGAAAGCACCTCCCAAGGCGTGTAATCACACCGCCGTCTCTTCTCCCTTTCTCTGTCCTGTCTGGATCTTGAACATGTGTGCACACGTATCCATAGTGTTTTTCAGAACACCGGGGCTGGGGTTCGAACTGCAGTTGGCCATGTGGAATCTGGTTTCCTCCACCACTAGGCTACTGGGCTACTCATCTCATTGACTTTTGTAACTATCTTACCACGCAGGGATTGAGATGGTTTCCAACTCTGCAGAAAGGGAAACTGGAGCTTTAGAAAGTTGGAGAACTTTCCAAGGCCGTAGGCCAGAGTTTGAAACTAGGCGAGTCTGCACCAGGCCTGGGCTGTGTCTGTGCCCTGCACTGCCTCTAAGGGCCTGCTTCCACAGGCACTAGCTGAGTGACTGCTGCAGCACCGCAGGGTGAGGGTGGGCCACCGCACAAGCAGCCCACCCACCCGGCCACATCCATGAGGCCCAGCAGGGCAGGTAGGGG